TTCAGCAGGGAATCAGGGTACCCTTGTGTCCACGTCGATGCATTTCCCATCGCGGGAGGAAAAATGTCATTTTTTGGTCCCTTTCTTTTGCTTTTCCCCATTACATTCATGCTTTCATCAGCTTTTTCCCCACCACCGATTTGCCCGTGCAATGGTTCTAAATAAACTCTGGTTTCCCTGCATGCTTTTGCTATTAAAATCCCTCGCTGTTTTTTCCCCTCCCGTGACGCTGAGCCCAAACCGTTGCAACCAACGCCTCTGCTGCGTGTTATTTTTGTCCTCTCCATTGATGATCTGAATATTATTTATCTGGAAATTTTGCTGCCATTGCTGCGAATTTTTGCTTCGCCTCCCAGACATTCCTTTTCATAGCTAAATTAATTTTAAAAATGCAAATACGAACATGAAATACCTGTACTTTTTTTCAATGTCCCTTCCCCATCTCCGGCCTTCTGGGGGGAATGGGTTTTGATTTGAACGATTCAGATTTCTCAGCATACAGAAAGCAAAAATTGGTTGGTTTTGCATGCACTTGGACTTGGCTCTTGCATCCACTTGGACTTGGCTTTTGCTAAGTGTCCGGCTAACAAACACAGTGGAAATACTCCTATAAAACCAAACATGGGCCTTGGAGAACCTCAAAAAAGCAGGCAGATACGGCCAGGGGCGACCAGAGATTTGGACCAGCCTGAAGACCTCCAGCTTTCCTCTCCTGCCTTGTTTTTGCAGGATTCCTCCAAAAGAAGGGCATCCAGAAGACCATTTTTGGAAGCGCACTGGGAAGAAATAACTTGGGATATCGGAAAATGGGAAGAAGAAACCGCCGTTTCCAGATCGAGCGGTCAAAGCCATATTCAACAGTGTTTTATGATGACCAAAATTGCATTTTTTTGGTGGCGTAGAGGAGAACTGTCCCAAAACACCAGCTCAGTGGTGGCCAGAAAGGCAGACTATTGGCAGTTATTCGAAAAAGATATGAAAGAAATTCATGGTGTTTCTGCAACATCACTGTGAAACCAAGGGCACCCGATGAAAGTGGAGGCTCTGCCTTAAAATAAATATAGATATCTCCAAGAAGATTTAAAAAATATATTTTTGCATACGAATTGCCTTGGATCGCAAATGCCAGCCAAATTATATTACACTTGTGATTTTGCTGCAGTGGAAAATGTTTTAGATTTTAGGACTCAAAAGAAGTTGGAATGTTTCCGGTAATTTTGAAACTTGAGTGTAAAAAATAGATCACTAGGTGTCTCTGCAGATCCACATCTGGGCACTGACCTTCCGCGGCTCTATGGCAAAACGCGATTTCTCCAAATTAAAAGTCGCTTTAATGAAGAAAAAGACCTGGTACATTTTCCATCGCACAAAAAAAAAAAACCTTTCTCACAATAAAGCAAGTGTCAAAGACCAAGTGCCCAAGTGTGGATAAGTGCTGGAATTCAACTACCTGGGCTGATGTCCTTCCCCTCGTGCTTTATAATACAGGAATTTATTTTTGGGTGGCATACACGCATAAAAATTTCCGTCTCAGCCTAACTTTGTGAAATTTATTTGTGCTTGAGTAAAGCTGGGGAAAATTGGGGTTAGTTGGAGAAAAAAGAAACCTGTGAGTTTGCCGAGAAGGAGTTGGCCAAACTCAAACTCATGTAAGAAGATTTGTACAGCTCCTTTGTGGATGGACGGAGCTGGAAAAAAAGCTGGCTTTAAATAACAGAAATCCAGGTTTGTCCACAGGGCAAACTTGGATAAATTAAGATCTATACAGAGAAGTACTGCATCGAGTTAGGCCAACCCAACCGTCGGCCTCCAAGCACCAGCAAGACAGGGAGGAAGACAAGAAATGTCCATATAAACACTGCCAATCTGCCGCAATTCTCCCTCAAAATGAGTGCTGAAAAACGCAAGATTTAATCCAATTTAAACGTCGCTGGCAATGCGGTGGTTCCCGATATGATTGGCTTTGCGGTGGTTTTTTTCTTGCAAGTGAAGTCAACTGGAGAGCGGTGTGGACCACTTTGATGTCGAATGAAAGCTGGACTTAAGTGTTGGGTTAAATTGGCTTTCCCCACCGCCTCCATGCAGCAAGCACCTCCTTTCTCCTCTCCTTGTCCGAAGAACTCGAAAAATATTCATTAAATGAAGGGAGGGAGTTAAAAAGGGTCCGATGAGAACTCAAGGGAGAGGAATGAAGCCAAGTGAAAACCAGCCAATAAAAATGGAAGAAGGGGAATCGCTTGGTGGATTTGCAGGCCAAAGATACTAAAACTCCTCCGCAAAACAAAGCGGAGCGCAAAATGAGAAAGCGATGGAGAAAACAGAGTAGAAAAATGTCTATAAGGTAATGAAGGGTCAAGGAAGGCTCACCGCATTGGAGAAAAACCCTAACTTTTCACCCAAACTTGGCCAACAGCAGGAGTCATCTCCAGATTTAGCGACACAAGAAGATTTCAGCAACAGTGGAAAGGCCTCCATTTGCCCAATTTTCCCATCAGGCACCTGTCTGGTGCTCGCTCATCTTTCCATCACCTCCAGGCATTTTTGCATTCCCAGGAATTCTTGCATTTTTCATCTCAGAAAGCACAAATAACAGCAAGCCAAGGGCCAGCCTTTTTGGATACACCAGGAAAATCCCACTACCATTCTCCCGCGATGACATTTTGACAGCTCCGGCCATTGTTTTCTCAATTTTGGTTGCCATCCTTCCTATTGCGTATCCATAATTTTTTAAGCAGGCTATCCCGTGGTAAAATACTTTGCAAAAAATGGAAATATTTCGCTTTCATGACTAACCTGGTCTACCTGCTCATAAAATGATCAATCCCCCTCCCATACCCTGAGAAAACCTATTTTCTGAGAAACCTCCTTCATTGCTATTAATCACATTTCCATTATTTAGATTTTTTTTTTTAAATTCCTAAATTAGTGGCCCCTTAGCTGTTTTACCTACCCTCAGCATAAGATTAATAGGACGATAATTAGCGAAATCATCCCACTTGTCATTTTTTTAAACACTGAGCCCGTGATTCTTCAGCTCTCTGGAACACCCCCAGCCCTTCAAACCAAACTGATGGATATAGAGTATTTCCACCCATTTTTTTAAGCCTTATCCATGCAAACTCAAGTATACTCAATGAGTCGAAGCACTCAGGCACTTGACATTGCTTAGCTGGATAATTAGAAAAAAAATTGGCCGTTATATCATCACTGGTACATCATCGTCATCCCATGACCAGATGAGATGGTGGCTCCTTCCGGTCTATCACCGTGGATATTTCAGCGCCTGTCGCCTGCTGAAAATCCCTTCGTCGCTGAGCGAGCGTTTCCCTTCCAGTTGGGTCTTTCCTGAGCGCATTCCCATTTATTTAGCAACTGCCTGCAAATTCTCACTTGAATTTCTCAACTTTAGAGTTTTGCCCTGAAGGGAAACCGGCAGCTCCGGGTCTGCAGGAATCGGAGGCACTTGGTACCGCTCCACGGGCCTGATTATTTTCCAAAGACTTGTGCTAATTTTCTGATACGATCCCCACCTCTTTGTGAAGCACTAAATCCTCATTACTTTTCCTGACCGATGCATTCTAATTAGATCAACACTTTAAAAAAAAAAAAAAAAGGAAAAGAGGGGGAAAAAAAAAAAAATCACAATAGCCACAGGACGGCTTTCCATCTCATTAACTCCCTCACTTATTATTTTCATGAAAATTACTGATAAAAAACGTGCATCTCCATTTGCTGGGACCGGGAGCTTCGTCGGCTCATATCTAACATCTCTCTCATCACCCGGGATGCGAGCTGTTGCCATGGCGACGCACAATAATAGAAACTAATAAATTACAAACGAGATGCTCGTTGAGCAATTATTGTTCTCTTTTATGCAAGCGTCTTGCTAATTTTGATCATAAGGAATGCTACCATAAAGCAGTGAAGGGATAATAAGTCCATTTCTACAGATTATTAGAAAATAGAGAGAGGCTGGGGTTTTTTAGATCAATGATTAAGTGGTTTGGTGCTTTCAGGAAACCCAAATAAGACATAAAACTTTTTGGGGGGCTTTTCCCTCCCCGCGCCGGGGGAAGAAGGTGGCCGCAAGCGTCATGTTGGGAGCTTCAAACTCTGCAGCGCTTGGAGCTGAGCTGCTAAAATCACTTTTTTTTTTCCTTTCCACCACCCTAAAAATGCCCTGAAAAGCCCTAAAAAAGCCCCTGCTGCCTGCCTCCTTTTGGGGCATAGCTCCACGAGCTGCCTGGGGACGCCCTGGCTTATTTTGAGTTGGCTGCAGTTATTTCTGGTGGGATTGTGCAACCCCAAATTTCATTTTCCCCCAAAAACATCCAGTATCTGAGAGACAGAAATCCCTACGGGACACCCAATGCTGCATCAAGGAAGTTTTTTGGGATGCAACCAGCCAACATTTATTCCCTGCACTGCAAATGCACATCAAAACCCCAAGCCATGGGCCACTTTTTTTCCAAATATTAAGTTAAAATCCCTTATTTTGCCCCAAAAGCCACCAAGCTGCAGCTTGGTTTGGCCATTTCAGTTGATATTTCTGCAGTTTTTGGGCATCTCTTTGTACTTTCCCACTGTGCTCAAGATACCAAATATTTTTTTTTCTCCCAGCTAAAACCCAAATTATGCAAAAAAAATGTCAAGCTGGGAATGTTGGTCATGCTGGGGGAGAACTGCAAGATGTGCTGGGGCAAAAAAGGAGCAGCGAAGGCAAAAAGGGTTATCTGAGACCCAAAAATATGTTCTGCTGCCTTGAAACGAAGATGAGAACGGGGGGAGAGGAAGTGGTGGAGAAAATTTCTGTCCCTCCCACCAACAAATAGTACTTTTTCATGAAAAAAATGCAAATTTCTTGTCCATTTTCCCATGCGCTTGCACAGCTTTTGCAATTCCTTCCCCCCCCCCCCCCCCCCCCCCTGCTTCTCCTTTTCCCCTCCGCCCCCCCCACTTTTGCTCTTCCCCCCCCCCCCCCCCCCCCCGTTTCATTGCTGCAACGTAAGAGTTGAGGAGAAGTCCTCATCTCTCTCCATTTTGCAGAGACACAAAGGTTGGGGTTGCAGCTCTGCCAAACTCATGAAAACAAGGCCATGAAAAAAACATTTTAAAAAAGCTAAAAAATCACTGCGGCATCATTTATTGCGCCATATGAGCAAGATATGGGTTATTTTTAATTGTTTTCCGCAATTGGGGATGGACTTTGCTGAATTTCCAGGCCACAAGAGTTGTAGAGCAACCCCCCAACACCATTGGCCCAACTCACTCGTTGGCCAATGTGCAACGCTGGCAATTACAGGCGATTTGAAGGCGTTACCTGGGGGTGGAGGCTGATGGAGGAGGGGTTGGGGGAGTAGGGCCCCCCCAGGTCGTTCCTGAGTAGGTTGTCGCTGTGCATCTTGGTTTTGAGGCAGGTGATGTAGCGGTTGCAAAAGTCCTTGCACAACTCGTTGACCTTCTCCAGCTCCAGTAGGTGGATGCGCAGCACCTGGATCGCCTTCACCATCTACACAAGGACACACCGGCCCAGTTAAAATAATTTTTTTCCTCAGCAAATTGGAAAAAAAAAAAAACCAAAAAATCAATATTCTCACGCAAAATCTAACCTGGAACCGATCCCTAGGGTAGCATTAAACCCATTTCCTATCTCAACGCACCAAAAAAATCAATATTCTCACCCAAAACCCATCCCAGAGCCCATCCCTCTGCACCTCCACACTTCTTTTCCCTCCCCATTAACCAGACCTCTGAAGCCGCAGGAGGTGAAAATTCACAAAATTTACCATTCCCTTCCTGGGAATTATTCCTTGTGCCCCAAAAAAATCCAAGCCAAAGCCCTGGATGTCAAAAAGTGGTTGGTTATTCTCCGGAGGCCACTTCTTCTAACAAGATTATGGGGCTGCAACTCCACCGTAAGCCGTTGCCGGTGCAAAGCCTGGGCCTCATTAAAACGTACCCCATAAACGTTAAAAAATTTACACATAAAACATTCCTCTCGCCGAGCTGAAACCTTAAGTTTTACAGCCGCTGTTTGAAATCTTGCATAATATATAAAATTTCAGCTATTCACTCCGGGGCAATAAATCCGGTTTTATGTAACAAAGCGTCTTTGCATTTCAAAGGGTGTTTTTAACTTGCAAATTTTAGTGGTCATCTTTACAAACTGCGAGTCGCCACGATTGGGAAACATCCCGAAAAATCCAGGGCCAAACTCAGGCGGCAGCTCCACGATGGAGAAAGCAAATTTTTGATTGGCGGACAACAAGGCTGACAGGTTGTGGCTGGAAAAATTCTTTTCTTTTTGGCTTTTTTTGGCTTTTTTTTGGCTTTTTTTTTTGGCTTTTTTTCCCTCCTCCACAGTTGGCGTAGGCAAAGCGCAAGGTGGAGGTGTTGCGCCCCGGCTCTCCGCATCCTCCCAGGGCTCAACGGCCATGAAAGTCAATATTCAAGGGCAAAGGCAAGAAGACCTGACACATATATGTATAAAAAATAAATCTCTCAATTATCTCAGCTCATTTGCTTAGGGTCTCATTTTATGTCCCTGCTCTGCTGCGCCGTATATCTGTCCGGATAAAGAGTTACAGTCCGATGGCGTACGTGCGCGGGGTTGTAAAAAATACAGATGCTGAATTAATTGACTGTGTGGCACTCGGCAGCTGATTGAGTTGATAATGGTGAGATCTGACCTTTTTCTAATTTCTAATTATGTGCATCTCGGCGGTGAGGAATACATGACTCTTATTCTAATGATAGCTAATGCTGCTGGCCTTTTCATCCCTGCTTTGCCATCACCGATTTCCGGAGAATCGGTGGTGTTAAAAAAAAAAAAACAACAAACCAACCAAAAAACAACCAAAAAAAAAGGATAATGCAAATAGGGAAAAAGTGCCAGCTCAGGACCAGGTGGAAATGTTGAGTTTTGAGCATCGCAAGACTCGCTCATCCAAAATTCCCTCCAGTTGGCGCTTCCCACCAACAGGAACGCTCCTTCTTCAGCATCACATTAACCAGCTCCTCTGTCTTGACGGAGGCCAACCACACTGAGCGATTTGGACGGCTTCTGGAGAAGTTCTGGGCATTGGATAGAATATATACATACAGATATGTCCTAGAAATAGGGCAAAAATACATATATATATTTATATATATATATATGAATATGAATATATCCAGTGCTGCAAGATTATACATGGGATCAATACAACTGCCCACGGCCAAATTTCACCTCGGCAGCAAGAGTTGCTCCAAAACATGCCCAAAATCCATGACTGGTGTCGGTTTTTTTTACAAAACCACCAAAAAACCAGTGAAAACAGCCTCTGTGGACACATCTCCTGCACTGACCGTTTGCTGGAGATGTTTCGCCTCGATAGGTGTAGAAATAGCGTTTTTTAGATTTTTTTAGATTTTAGATTTTAGATTTTTCGGTATCTTCAGCTGGTTTCACCTCTCTCCTCTTGCTAGATCATTGCACCTGTTTTTATGTAATTTAATGCAATGGTGGTTTTTTTGGTGCACCTCAACATCTGATCATGTTCAGTCCCAAAACTGAAATACTCCAAAACATTGCTTTTTTTGGTTACTTGTCCCAGAAAGATTTCTGTTCTTGGCCGTAAGACATCGTGAAATGGGTTTAGTAATCTGCAAATGGGGCTTTGCATGGCCTATAATTTTTCTGGAGGGCTTTCCACAGCCACAGCTAAGCCGCTCTTGATTTAAGGATGTTGCAAAACCACGAGCTGAAATCGGGTATAAAGATGCGGGATTTTAAAACATCTTGAAGTCTTCTTGCATTTTTAGGAAAGTGGTGGTTTTTGCACTTGGATGAGCGTTACTTGTTCTTCTTCCCTTCGTGACAGGTCGTTGGACAAACTCACCTCCTTGCTATCTCCAATATTTGGAAAAAGCTGCCTGTGAATTGCTTGATTTTGCTTTTTCTCTGGGATGGAAATCCCTCTGCAACACAATCCCAGGGGGCACACCATCCTTCAGGGAAGGATGCATCATCAGAAGTGGATGAAATTGCCTCTTAGGACCTTAAAAATCTGCTTGCGGAGCGCTGGGAGGGTTCACCAGGATGATGCCATGGACCTGTCCACCCACACACTTGCCATGGAGACCACATGTGGAGATGTGGAGGCTTCCTGGAGAAAATAATGGGATTTGGGGATGTTTCCTGAGGTCCCCATGAGAGAAAAGCTCCATCCCAAGCAGAGTCTTCTGAGGCAACTTCCAGCAGCAATGGATGCAGTAGGAAATTTGCGTTGCTATGACAGGGAGGCCACCAAAAACGGTCCAAAGTGTCCCAAACCATTGATATGCATCACCCTTTTTGGAAAAAGCTCTTCTTTTGCCTTGTTTCTAGGACAAGAGCTGGCCATCGCACTTGAAACAAGATGGTGCCAGACAAGAACGCAGACGCTATTGCATGTTGCATTGAAGAGCAGTAATTCCTGTAGAGACTGCAAGTTTTGGGGCACAAACCAGCCATTGATCGTGGCTGTTCCAAGGAAATGCGTTGACCCCACGATGTTCGTGTGGGAAAACTAGCCAAAAATTGGGCAGGGGTTTGTTCTCACAGGCAACCTTATGGAAAAGGTCTCAGAGAAGGTCCTGGAAAAGGTCTCACAAGGTCTATGGAGAACATTGTCAAGATGGCCAACACTACAAACGGAGCCCCAAGACATTGCCCAGGGTGGTAGATCTCCATAATTTGTTCCTCATCCCCTACCTTCTTCCCACCCCCCCAAAAACCATCTGCCAAGCCCCGGCCGCCTCTACCAGGTTGTCCAGCTCGGGGTCATCACTGAAGAAGGGCTTGTGCTCCTGCTCCTGCTGGTGGACGAAGTTCTCGATGTCGACGTCGAAGCTGGCTGAGGTGATGCACTCGGAACCCTGAGTCGCCTGCTCGCACTTCTCGAAGAGCAGAGTCAGCAGCGGGAACAGCGGGTGCCTGCAGAGGACAAAGGAGACCCCCCCCATAACTCCCACTCTTTCAGGTCCCATGTCCGTTTTCACCCCACACCATCCATCCATTCCCTCCCAGCTTGCAAGATCCTGGTGGTGCAAATCTCACTCCCAAGCCAATGTTGGAATTGCTCCCTCTAGACCTGTTGCAACAACAAAAAAGCTTCAAAATGGCAAAATTCACCATCTTCTCCACCAGGCAATGACTTCTCTCAACATCTTGATGCTTTCCATCATCGCACCAAAGCCAGCATTTCCAAAATGTTTTGCCATAGGCAAAAAGGTTTGGCTTCGGGGTGGTTGACTTGGAGCCATCTGCTGTCCTGGGGGCTTTGCGTTTTGGGGATCGACCTCAGCACCTGCTCATCGATGGTAGTATTTTACCCCCCAATGTCTCCCTCGGTTGGAGACGCCGGATGGGGATGAGCTGGTATGTCTACATGCCTGCAGCATCCTTTGAACCAGCCTCGCTACAGGTTGCTCTTCCACCAAGAGGTCTCTTTGCACCTCCGTCAAGCACATCTATGTCCATGCACGAAGTAAATGATGGGTCCCATCCCACTTCTTTCTTACCTTTCTTAAAAACCAACGATTTGCAATTCTTCTTGCAAATCCACAATTTGCTCTCATGATGATGCTAAACCGATGCAATATAAAATGCAAATATACGTACAACGCCAAAGCACGTGGAGAAGAAGGGGATGAAGACCATGAGTTAGCGTGACCCTCAATGAACCTCTCCAGTCGTGCAATTTAAATAAAAAAAATTAAAGTATTCACGGGGAATATATTCAGGAGAGAAATACAAAATGCTGCTACAGGGACGGTCTCCGCCAGTTATCCCAGCGCAACAGGATTTGCTCCCCCATTTTATCTCCAAAAGATGGTCCAAAAAATGCTTACGAATCACTTTCCACCGGTTTTTTCCGAGCCGGAGTCAGGCGAAGGGGTTAAACCCCTCGGCTAAGTCTTCATTTGCAGCCACTAATACCCCAGCATATTATAGTTTAATCTGTCCTGATCCCGGTTTAATGCAAGATTCGCCGAGGCTGGAGCAGAGAACGGGGAGGGGGGGGAGCAATAATTTCATAATTTCGGCAGCCCCACCGGGGCTTAGCCGAGGGATATGAAAGGCAAATTCCAGGCGGCGGGCTGAATTATTGGGACTTACGAACCGGCGGCTCAGCGGCGGGTGCCCGCTGTCATTTCCAGAGCCGCTCCGTCAATTAGGAATTGCACGGAATTATCCCAAGGTTGGGGGGCTTTTTGGGGAGCGGGGGATTGCAGCGCCTGGGCAATTTGTAGCCCCTTTGCTTTGAGGGGTTGCAAGGGGGGATTAAAACCGTTGCCGGCATCACGTCGCACGGCTCGGTATTAATAATTGGGGCACCACGGCCGCTGACCCCCGGGAATGGCTTGGAGCGCCGGCAGGGAGGAGGAGGAGGGGGTGGCATGTGGCTGAGGGGAGATGGGTTGGGTTTTGGTTGGAAATGAAATTTTAAAAAAAAGAAAAAAGGAAAGGGAAAGGAAAAGGGAAAGGGAAAGGGAAAGGGCAAGGGAAAGGGACAGGGAAAGGGAAAGGGAAAGGGAAAGGGAAAGGGAAAGGGAAAGGGAAAGGGAAAGGGAAAGGGAAAGGGAAAGGAGGGAGGGGAAGGGAAGGGAAGGGAAGGGAAGGGAAGGCATGGGGCCCCATGCTGACGTTGGGGAGGGGGTCATGGTTTTTTCCTTGCAGAGTAGGACACACTGTGGAGCAATGCCCCAGGCTTTCCCAAGCTGCTCTCAAAGGGGTTTCATCCCCAAAGCCTCCCTGATTTCTTCCATGCCTTTCTATGGGTACAAGCCACATCTGCTAACTCTTCATTTCACTTATGTATCACAGAAGAGAAACTGCCCGTTTATGTCACAGTGAAAAATGAATGCTGGAGTGGGACAAAAGGTGAAAAGAAAAGAAAAGAAAAGAAAAGAAAAGAAAAGAAAAGAAAAGAAAAGAAAAGAAAAGAAAAGAAAAGAAAAGAAAAGAAAAGAAAAGAAAAGAAAAGAAAAGAAAAGAAAAGAAAAGAAAAGAAAAGAAAAGAAAAGAAAAAAAAGAAAAGAGAAAAAAGAAAATGAAATAAAATAAAATAAAAAATAAAATAACTAAAATAAAAATATAATAAAATAAAATAAAAATAAAATGAAATAAATAAATAAAATAAAATGCAAATAAAATAAAATAAAATAGAACAGAACAAATAAATAAACAAAATAAAAACATTAAAAATTAAAAAAACAAAATAAAATAACAAAAGTAGAATACTAAAAAAAATGAAACCGAACCAGGGGGAGATGCAGAACCCCCTGGGATGGGCTAAGGGAGAGCACCAAGGCTCCTACGCAAGCGCGGCCTTGAGGAGTAGGAAAATTTGGGGTTCTGCCCCAAGCTGTATGCTGAGTTGTTGTTCATTTTTTTCTTTTTGCATGAAAAAATAAGCAATTTTCTCTATTTCCAGCCTTTTTGTGGCCATAAGAGATGTCGTGGCATGAAAATTGAGAGCCGGAGCCCATCCTTGCTCGGAAATTTGGGGGGGAAAACAGCCGGATATCCAGGATGCACAGGGAAACGGGAGGATTTTCCCCACCGCGGCCGTTACGGAGGTAAAGGAAGAATTTCGGGGTAGAAAAATCTGATTTTGCTGAAAAAAATCAGGCTTTTTTGCCAAAACTCCCTTGTTTTTTTCCAGGGAATCCTCCAAATAAAAGGGCTGAACCGGCCCTGACATTTTCCTGCAGGAGAGAGGTCGTTCGCAGCCGCTAATAAAAAGGATTCGACACGGGCTAATAAAGAGAAATGAATTCCTCTAATGGCCTCATTTCGCACCTTCAGCAGGGCCGGCGGCACCGTGGGCACATCACGACACACGTTTTTTTGTTTTCAACCCAGCTCCAACCTTTCCTCCCTCCAAAAAGGAAAAAAAAAATAGAAAATCAACTTAATGTAAAGAAATCTAGCCGTTTCCCACTTGGAAAAATCCAGTTTGGGGTGGTTTAGGCATCGGTTCCAGCGGGAAAATTATCTTTACTGGTCCAAAATCCTTTGGGAAGTTGCCACCTTGCTGTTGCAGAAAGTGAACAAAATACTTTAGCTGGAAAAAAAATGGAAATACTGCTGGATAGGTGAATATTCAGCTTTTGCATGCAGCAAAAAAAGGCTCGTTGGGTGGGTTTTTAGAGATAAAAATGTATTTGGGGGGTGGTTTTGGCCAATACCCAAAAATAAGCATCCAGGTTTGGGCAACCGAGTTGGCATGGGACCAGACAATGATTTTTTCCCCATTTTTCTGGGTGGGAAATACCCCCAAAAAGGGATTTTTGGCATTTTTTTTTGACCTTCAAACGAATGCTGTAAAAACTCCAAAGGGTTTTTTAGTTTTTGTTATCCCACAAATGCTGCAAAAATCCTCGCAGAAGTGCAAAGGTGGTTTTTTTCTTCTTGAATGACCTCTTGTGTCTCGAAAAAATTATTTCCATCATTGGAAAAAAAAATCTGAAGACCCCTTTCAAAAAATCCTTTTCCTGGGAAACCAGTGGGTTTACTCCACACCTTCATCCGCCTTTCCGGACCTTTCAGCCTCGTAATATTTGAATATTTGGAGTCAAAATATTTTAATTCCTTCACTTCCGAGCTGCGATTTTTTCATTTACGAGCCCCCCGCAGCCCTGGCCATTAACGGGGGGCTAATCCTCAACCTTAAACCTTAATCCTAATTATATCATAATATTATACGTTACTGTATACATCGTAATATTGTAAATAATTACATATCGCTTATATAATTATATCTTACTTATATAATTATACTATTTACATAATTATAATGTGACTTATTACAATTATACGATAACGTTACTGCATATATTACAATATTACATATTATTCTCTCCGAAGTGGTTAAAAAAAAGGAGACCGGAGGGGCTCATCCATCCCACGCCCATTGCTGCCCGCACCCCACGCGGATCCACGACCCACCCATTTCAGGTTAATACATGATTTTACTCCTTCTGGGGTTTTTTTTGGCCCAAAACTGCATGGTTTTGCCAAAAAAAAAGGCTAATTTGAGTTTTCGGGGTGGGGGGTGTCCACAAAGGAGCTCCACCATGATGCGCTATTATCGATAGTTACTATCACTAAGAAGGAGCTAATTGCTACTCCCCCCATTCCTGTGCACTAATTATTTCATTTTAGCAATAATTTAATAATTTAGCGGATTAATAATGCATTTTAATAACGAACGCATCGAGCCGATGCATTAACCAATGCATTAATTAATGCATCGCCGAATAGGTGCATTAATAATGCAGTAGAATAACCGATGCATTAATGAAATGATGCGTTAATTAACGCATTAATTAATGCGCATGGGTATTAGGTCGGGGGGAAAGGAGAGGAAAAAAGGAAGAAAAGATAACAAAAATGGGGTTTATTGCACTTTTCCACCGAGTTTTGCAGCTTTCTGCACCAAATTTTTCAAATTTTGGTGGCAGCCCCGTGGTGGGGCTGTGAGCAGGACGGCTTGGGAGGGCAGGTGAAAACATATTTGCATTTCACCTCATCCCGGCAACAGTAGCATTAGGTTTTTCCCACTTTTTTCCCTTTTTACCTGGAGAAAATACAGGAAAAAAAAATCCCGACGTCCTCATTGCACCGCCGGCAAAGCAAATTTATTAATTTATTAAGGGATGCTTTGCAGAAGTCCTAGATTAAATCAGCTGCACCGCTTGTCTCCCGCTCGCCGCAATTTGTGTTTCAAAGCAGGTATTATCGTCTAGACACACAGGCATTTAAACCTTCTTCCAAAATTACGGGAGCTTCTTCCAACTCACCCAGCCCAGGGATGAATCATTTTTGCACCGCCAGAAGCCAGCCAAAAAAAATAAAATCCTTTTTTTTATGCCCAAGTTGCCCATCTTCACCCCGACGCTGCCCCAGGTCGCCACTGCAATGAGAATCGCAACGCACCGGGGCTGGAAATCTACAGGCGAAAAATGACGTCGGCTACAGGATCGATCGTTCTACCAACTGATATTTTGCTTTTTTAAAAATTGCCATTATTTTCGTTAAATATAGGTATTTTAGACAGGAGCGGCGTGCGCGCCAGGGCGAGTGCAAATTGCCGCGCGTCCTTCCGGCGTCGCCCCTAAAATTGCCGTTTCCACTTAAAATCGACACGATTTAAAATTAAAATTAACACCATTGGGGCGATTTCCACTTAAAATTAACAATTTCATTAAAGAAATCTGAATTATTTGCTGTCGGCCTGCAGACAGGCCCGACGTACACCACGCGCCGCATGGCTTTATCTTCCCAAGAGTCGGTTAAAAAAAAATAATCAGGGAGAATTTTAAGCCATTTGGGTCCAAATACATCAGCAACCCCCCAAATCCAGTGGTTTTCCCTCAAAATCTCCGCGGAAAATTAACGCAAAGTGGGTGTTTCGCCCGCTTTGGTGTCAAAATGTTGTAAAAAAATGCGCGTTTGCCCGTTTTCACCGGTAAATCTTCAGTCCTCCCTTGAGCTTGGTAGCAAAAGGAAGCCTCTGCCTCTTGTTAAATATTATATAAAATTTATTTATTGGTCTAATACGTGTTTATTTAGATAGAAATAAAATATTTTAATATGTTGTTTATTTATTGGGCTAATATAAAGCGACAGTCATTCTAATTTATTCTAATAAATCTAT